ATGGGTGGAGCACATTCGGCAAGCACTCTCAAATTATGACAGGTAGATTGCCATTATCCCTTAAGAGGAAGGTATATAACAGCTGTATCTTGCCGGTACTTAGCTACGAAGCAGAAACCTGAAGACTCACAAAGAGGGTCCAGTTAAATTGAGGACGACGCAGCGAGCAATGGAAAGAAAAATGGTAGGTGTAACCTTAAGAGACAAGAAGAGCAGAGTGGATTAGGGAACAAACGGGGTTAAGGATATCATAGTTGAAATAAAGAAGAGAGAATGGACATCGGCCGAGCATTTAGCGTGTATACAAGATAACCGCTGGTCATTAAGGGGAACTGACTGGATTCCAAGAAAGGCAAGCGGGTTAGGGGAGACAGAAGGTTAGGTGGGCAGATGAGATTAGAAGTTTGCGGGTATAAATTGGCAGCAGCAAGCACAGGACCGGGTTAACTGGCGGAACATGGGAGAGGCCTTTGTCCTGCAGTGGACGTAGTCAGGCTGATGATGATGATGATGATGACTAGTGAAAGCTCATCCATGCGGAAAAGATATGATTTTTAAGATGATTTCTGCCATCATGGTTATTTTGAGAATGTGACTACAGCGAACTCCTTATGCAAAATGCAATGGCAAGCAGCCAGGTGACAATTTTTAGGGCTCTAGAGAATGAGCTCTTTTTAGTTTTTACGAGTCACCTTGCGCTCTTTAAAAGTGATTTTAACCTACTTCGTGTTTAATTACAATCTTCAGTGTTTCTTGTCGTGAAAGTAGAGAAACTAAACTTATGAAAGCAAAAAAAAATAAATAAGTAATTTTTGAAAAAATATGTTTTTGACTCTCATCTCCCCTTAAAGGGCCACTCACCAGGTTTGACAATTTTGAGCTGACAAGCGCAATGCGTAGATGAGGCGTTCACGATCACGTCTGCCAAATTTGCAACGCTACGCGCCACAGAAATGGGTCAAATTTCAAGATGAACGCTGCTCCCCCTCCCTTTGCGGGCGTGCGCCCAGAGAATGAGGGCATGACGTGCGCGTATGAATGGCCCTACGTACATGGCAATGCAGTGATGTTGGTCCTCTATGTAGACGACTGTGCCCTGACGTTGCCAACAGTGGTACGTGACATGGCAAAAATTATTTAACATGACATGCGTAGTTGATGTAGTTGTTGCTTGAAGAGAATAATAGATCCCTAAATCAATAATGAGACGCAATAAAGGAATGTGAGCATTCTTTTTATAATTTTTCTCCCCATGAATTGCAACGAGATGCGGGGCTAATGTGCCGGCGTTTCGCATGCGTTCATGTCCCCGCGGTCAGCGCATCGAGCAGATGGCTCCTACGTGTGAAACGCTCCTACATGTTTGCGCACTCATTGTGCTCATCTATGCTACCGTGCCTAAGCCAGCTTTTCCAATCCATTCCGCAGAAACAGGCTGTAGACCTCGAAACAACACTGGTGAAAAACAAAACAAAAATAAATAACGCTGCTCGCGGACACGGGTGTTGGGCTGTTCAGGCATGTCATGCGCACGTGAACTCTAGTCGGATGCCCGAGAGGTTAGGGAAGAGATTCGGCTTGCGAAGACTACGCGGAGGAGAAGCAAGGGTTTTGAGCTTGCCTCCTCTCATCCTCAATTCGCGCCGCTTAAAAAAAAACTGTTTTCTCAGCTCGTAATGAACCGATTCAAAAATTTTTTTTGGCAAAATGTTCCTCATCGGACCCCCAACAACTTCCATGGTCTCACTAAAATTTGGTATGGGGCCTGGTGAGTGGCCCCCTTCAATTGTACTATTTTAACTGCATTGTAGTAATCACAATAAAAATCTGAAAGTGATAAAAAAAAACAACCCGCCGCTAGCAGGGAGCAAACCAGCAACCTTGGGATAATGCACTGGATACTCTACCGATTGAGCTATGACAGCAGCCATCTTCTTGTCTCTTTTGTTGAGTATTTATGAGAATGCACAGCTGAAAGTGTTAGTGGCCCTCGATGACAGCGAGTGTGAAACATTACTTAAAGGGATGCTGAACAAAAATGAGAAAAACTGACGAAACTTCGAAATTCGGCTCGAAAGATGCCACTGTTCCTCTAAACGGAGTTAATTTCCACATTTTTGAACAGTTCGTTGTATGTTTGATGGATTGTCAGCGCACGGCGGCTGCTCACTAGCTCGAGCCGTGACGTCACACTCACTATGGAGCATGCAGGATGCACGTGTTCTTGTCCTCCTCTTCCTTTTCTCCATCTCCTCTCATCCCACTCTTTCCCTTCCACAATTGCGCCAGTGCTTTGCCCCAGCCAGAAGCACTGTTCGCTGCTGTAGCTGTTCATACCAGTTTAGGAATCGAAATGGCAGCTGAGCGACTTGAGAAACGCGGTCGACGGCTGGCATTCTCGACTTGCCCGTTTCAATGCGTATATCGTCACAAAACATCACCTTCACTAGTGAACGGCACGGCCGCTAGACGCAGCAAATTTTTGGAAAACGCATTAGTATCATTATTGTCCCATAGTTTCTGCCTGGAATGAAGGTTATCTCTATCGATTTCAAAGCCCAATCTTTCAATTTGGCTGAAAATCAACCTTTAGTGGTCATATTTCCAGTAACCTAACGCAGTCATCACAAACAACTGTGTATACCAGTTGCATGGCTATTGGTAGGATTTTGACTGGGCAGTGCAAACCCATGTTGCATCACAATGGGGAGGGCAAATGCCCTTTCGCACCCCTGCTGATGCCCATGACCAGTTCTTATACCGTTAGCTGTGATTTCAGCTTCCTTCTCTGAGCATTGTGCTACACAGTGAAATTCTTTGTCTGCTGTACTATGTTCAGGCAGCTCATAATGCCACTATAAAGCATACAGTAAACAGTAACAAACGTTTTCAGCTGCGTGGTGACACATGTTGCTTCAAGCATGTTCAGATTGTTTACATGCTCTTTTATAAAACAGCACACAAGACTATGACCAGTGTGCACTTCCCAAACTTGCTAAAATTTTATGTACATATGTCAAGAAGCATAAAAAACACATGGCTGAGCAAATATGGCTGAGCAATAGTTATTAACAGACACAGATAATAACTTCTAGTTATAGTTGGTGGCTTCATGCACATAATTTTTTGCTGGAATATAGCTTTATGTAAAAAGAGGTGCCTCAATAGAACATTTTGTTCGGCCAGTTGGTGCATGTTTTACGGAAGAAATAAGGTACCAGCGAGACTAACACAAATGTGACATGGGCACATTTTGGACGCCCCAAAATGACATGGACACATGTTGGACACATGGACACATGGATGAACGCCCTAAAATGGACCTAGGTCCATTTTAGGGCGTTCATTCATGTCACTTCTTGTGTTCATCTCACTAGAGCCTTAGTCCTTTTGTTCAAAGGTGCCCCAGATCATGCTTTATGTTGTCCTCGACTATATTGGGATGTAAAATGGAGCACTGCTGTTATGCGCCTGAAAGCACTACACAACACACCACTGAAAATGGAAGACTAGAAGTGACTAGACAAAAAATAATAGGAATAATAACAAGCCTATGAGCATACTTGCAACAACTTTCCGAAAAAAAAACAGGAATGAGCAACAGAAATATTAGATTACAGGAGCACTGACATCAAATTAACTCATGCCAAGATTTTTGCGTCAGCGAGTAGCTATAGACCCCGTAGCAGCGCTTTGCGACCTAAAACGCAAGTGAGGGATGAATAACTATCCCTTTTATTGATTTATATCACTGGTATCTAGCACTGTTCAAAACTGCCGGCGATCCCGCCATTTTTAGCACTCGGAGCACCAGCAATGGCGCTACTTCGCGGTCACCTCCAGATCACGCCACAGCTGACCCGTTCTCCACAGAAAAGAGTGACATCAGGCTCAGCTGCTCTGCAAACATTTCGTCTGTTAGGCAGACACATTCAGTCATGCCTTGTCACCTGCATTGCTGCCGTTGCCGTACAAGGTGTCTACTCAGGTTCAATACCATAGCCTGGAGCTTGGAATCCATGAGATTGCGACGTCGCAAATTATTTTGCTTCGACCGACCTTTTACAGAAGAGTGATTCCGAAATGGACGCTGTTCCAAGCAGCACTGCAGAGGTGCCCGAGGATGCACGCTTCAGCCATGTTCGCTCGTGTGTCTCGGCTATATAGGTGTGTTTTCGCGTGCAAAGCATTCAGGTATACGCAGAGGGGTCAATGCAGTATAGCTATCACGAATGAGGCTCAGCGGAGAAATAGAATACGTTTCCTGCTTGCCAGGTTCTATTTTGCACCCCGAGATGCCCCCACCTACCCAGCCTCTCGCGGTTAACACCGTATTACCACTTTTACGCGGACACAAAGTCTACAGATGAACTAAAGTTCAACGATACCTGCGATGACATATGACTACAAGCTGTTCCACTTTTGATAGCTTGTGATCGTATTGATGTGTAACACATACGTGATATTAAAAGACACCCTCATTGCACTTTTTCTGTGCTTCGAAATAGATGACTGCAACTCACAACGATTCCCCAACATGCCGACCAACAAGCACACGTTTAATCATGCTCTTTTCTTTCGCCGTTCTTCTAAAGGTGGTTTTTATCTTGATAATTTCACCAAACCATTCAAATTAGTGCAACGAAGATCAGACGGGACGAGCGAGTGTGTTTCTGCGCTTCGGCGCCACGATAAGAACACTTGGATCGTACACGTCATCGCTACTAGAGCATCGTCACTCAGGATGGTATTTGTGGGATGTGTCACACCGAACACGTAGCACTAGTGTCAATGAAGCAGGGCAGCCTATTTTCTGTTTTTTCTCCTTAACTTTTCTATGCTGTTTGACATCGAATTAATTAACTCCCACGCAACGAATGCCGTTCAAATTTGGCCAAGAAGACCTATGCATACCAAGAGATCAAATGACAGACACATCTCGATCTTGAAATTTGATGTCAGTGCTCCTTTAAGAAGCGTCAAAGCAGAGATGCTGTGCGCTACAAATACTGTGAAAATGCCACTACTGACCAGTGCCTCAGACTAGGGCAAAGTGAGATGTCACCACTGTAGTTGGCCACGGGTTCATGCAGAAGGGCACTAAGTACAGCTGCCCCAACATAAAAGCCATGGTTGGCATCCGGCGGGTACTCGGTCCATTTGAGGAAGGCTCGCTCAAATTCATATGCCACGATTGTCTCTGCTGCTGGAGGAGCATGAGGGTAATTTCCAGATGATGTGGCCTCTTGCGATCCCGACCTGGTTGGTAGTTCACATGCTCTGGAGATAGAAGAGCGCAAAGATTTTAGATGACTACTCAGACGGAAAGGACGCTCGATACTATTTTAAAGGGCCACATACGCAATGCACAGTTCAAACAACACAAACAATATTACACACAACTTAAACGTTTTAGTGATGCTGAAAAGGACACTCGAAGATGGTGAGGCAGGCTTAACTTGCACATTCGTAACATTTCTTAAAAATGGTAATCTATTGAATCAAGCTTCTCACTAAGCTTATGGTTATTAGTATGGATTTATACAAGACTTTTGCACACAATTCATGATAAATGCAGAGGAAATTTATATTTGCTCTTTAAGAAATAAGACTGACTGAAAAGTGTAATGCTGAACTTGGAAAATTGCGAGAAATGCCAACTGATTGGTTGGCTGACTGATTGTGACATAAGGGCCAAGAGGTGTACCATAGCGAAGAATCCAGACTACCTGAAGATAAGCATGCAAAAGCATCTTTGCATTCTATTTTATCGGAATGGAACAAGCAACATTTGAAACCAAACTTGTGACCTAGTGCTTAGATGCCGAATGACAGTAGGCCACAAAGGCAGGGCCATTGAGATGAGGGTGGGGGGATAGAAATGGGAGAAGCATGACAATGTGTGGGGCAAAAATACTATGAAACACAAAAACAACCTATATAGAACTGACACACATATTGCAAGTCTTGTAAATATGGGTTGCTGTACAGTGTACTATTCTTATAAACAAAGCTTTTTGACTGCATGAACACATAAACCACCTTCACATGTACACAAATAATATAAAGCTACATTGACCATCCAGTGCACAGTTCTGCATTGTACAAGTGCACTGGATTTCGTGATTTGAACTGGTGCACACTTGTAAGGAAATTGAGAGTACACCTATAACCGGATGACTTTATTTATTTTTTACTTTAGTTGATTTAAATTTCACCTAATTAGGTCCTAACCTAAGGTCGCAGCCTCTGATTAAGTTTCTTCCAGCCAGAGCTCAAAAATATTCTGAGTCACTGTTGCTCAGGCTCTCATTTTTCTATTATTCCTCAACTCACTTGCCGTACCATACCATCCTCGCCGAGTTTCCCGGCTTGACGCACCCCAGCGGACCGCCACAAAAAGTGCAGCACACCACCGTGCACTACATCTGGACCTCTCCAGGCCACCCCGGTTTTCTGCTGCGCCCGTCACCTTGCCCCAGACCACATGCACATAGCCAAGGCAGAGTTTGAAGTGTGGCAGCTTGGGCTAGTTGGTATGGCATGACGATAGTTATAGCGCGAGAACAAAACGACGACACAGAGACAAGAAAGACACTCTTTCATGTCCTTCTTGTCTCTGTGTCGTCGTTTTGTTCTCGCGCTATAACTATCGTCAGGCAGAGTTTGAAGCCATGCTCCGAGAAGGCAACGCCCGTCACTCCGACGGCCCATGGGCCTCGCCACTTCACCTTGTCCCGAAGAAGACCCCTGGCTGGCGACGATGTGGGGACTACACCGCCCTCAACGCATGCACCATCCCAAACGACGTCCCGAAAACTGCAATAATTACCCCATTTGGCTTGTTCGAGTTTCCCTTCATGAGTTTTGGCCTAAGAAATGCAAGGCAAACCTTTCAGCACTTCATCGATGAAGTCGTTCGTGACCTCGACTTCTGCTTCGTCTATCTTGATGACATAATGGTCTTTTTACGTGACGCCGAAGAACACCACAGGCACCTTCGTCTGTTGCTCCAACGCCTCGACAACAATGGCCTGTTCATCAACGTCCAGAAGAGCACGCTCAGTGCTTGCACCGTTCATTTTCTTGGCCCCGAAGTTTCGTCGAAGGCAACTCGACCCCTGTCTGAACGCATCTCTGACTTGCAAAAGTACCCTCAACCCACCACCGCTAAAGGCCTTTGCAGTTTCCTTGGCATGCTGAACTTCTATAGACGTTTCTTACCGTACGACGCCGACTACCAGGTGCCCCTTCATGATATCTTGGCTGGCCTACAAGGAAACCAACCCATCACGTGGACGCAGACTTTGGTGCAGGTTTTCGAGGAATGCAAGACTGCTCTCTGCACCGCCACGCTCCTCCCCATTCCGTCCCAGACGCTTCCTTGGGACTCTTCACGGACGCCTCTGGTTTCGTCGTCAGCGCTGCCCTGATGCAACGCGTGGACAACGCTTAACACCCCTTGGAATTCTTCTCTAGGAAACTCTCAGCTCAGAAGGTGAGCCCTTCATGGCCGATGAAACCACGACTGCTGCCCCTACGAGTTCGTCGGCTTACTACAGAGAACTTCTGGTGATATACAAAGCAGTGTAGCACTTTCACCACGTCCTCAAAGCGCAGCACTGCCCCATCTATACTGACCACAAACCTCTAACGTAGGCCTTCGCTGAACGTCGCCATAAACTCCCGCCTGTTCATTCATTGCACAGTTCAGCACCGACATCGAACATGTCAGCGGGAAAGACAATGTGGTCGCCGAAGCGCTTTAACGTGTGGCCACCATCAGCTCGGTGCAGATAACAGCGGACGTCCTTGCAGAGGCTCAGACCTCGGACGTCGAACTACAGGAACTTCTCAAGGGCACGTCCTCACTGCAGTTAAAAGAAGCCCCATTCCAGGGTCGGCAAAAACAATCTGCTGCGACATGTCGACAGGACAAAGCAGGCTCTATATGCCTCTGTGCTATCACTGTGGTTTTTTCAACCAACTCCACAACCTCAGCCATCCCGGCATACGTGCCTCTACACGCCTCATGGCTGATCGCTATGTCTGGCCCTACATACAGCGGGATTGTCGCATGTGGGCATGCTCCTGCATTCACTGCCAATGTGCAAAAATCACCAGGCTTGTCACGTCACCACTCGGGACATTTCCTCAGCCTTCAGGTCGGTTTGAGCATGTCCACTTCAACATCATAGGACCATCTCGCCCGGCAGTAGTCAGGCTCCTGGGATTGGCCATCAGGCTTGAACGCTTGAGGACCGTCAGCTACGATCCCTGCGCCAATGGAATGATCGAGCGTTTCCACCAACAGTTCAAAGCCGCCATTATCCAGCACTACGACATCACACCCCACCGACTTCGTCACCCAGCTCCGATGCACCATCGCTGCCTTACGCCCTTCCCCTGCAGGCCACCACAGCAAGCCTACACCTTTTGTGTTCAAAAAGCTAGTATCGTGCACGCATGCTTTTCTCCGCGACGACACCGTTCGCCGGCCTTTCCAGCCACCCTACAGCGAACCCTATCCAGTTGGCCATCATGACAACAAGAACTTCATCTTGCACCGGTGGTGAAGTGGGAACCACTGCACACAGGCCTGCGCAGCTTCTGTCTCGTCATTGATTAGCCCGGTCTGACATGGCCACTTGCTGCAACACGCTCCTGATAAAAGACAGAGCCACACAGCTTCATCAGAGGCTTACGTCACCACTGCTGGCTATATAACCCAAGCTATCAAGCTTAGTTTAATGATTATTTCTCTAACCTTTTGAACACAGCGGCGGCATGCTTGCCCCGCAGCTGCTACCATATTAATAAACGACCGTTACGTTTTATGTCGGGATCCGTCCTTCATGGTCTCCGCATCCCACAAGCTGAACAGAGGTGCATGTAATTTGCGGAAGTGTATCCTTGGCTTCTGCCACCATTTCATGAGTTGCCCTCTTTGTGACGCTTGCTCTGAGCTTTTTGGGACACCAGTCTGGGTTATCATGCCTCCTTCTGAGCCACTTCTAGTTTCAGCCACGTGCGCCTATCCATCCAATTTCAGCTGCTACAGCACCGCTGCAGTCTCACAGATAACATACGGAATGTTGTCTGCTTGATGAATCTTCCCTGTGTTGCACGCATCTCTGAATGATGCACTCAGTATGCAGTTGGGTAGCAGGTCATGTTTGTAACGCTTTGGCCTATAAATTGTCTGCATGCAATTTGCATGTATGTTTACGAGAGAGGGAGATCAGAAAAAGGAAAAGCAGAATGGTAAATCAAGTCTCTGTCAGGTCTGTTGGCCAACACAAAAGAAAAAAAGGATAAGAAATAAAAGGAGAGGAGGACAAGGAAGAAAACAAGAAGCCTTGCTTGAATTAGTGGATAAAGAGTTAACTGAAAAACTACAGAATGGTTTACATACCTGCTTTCAGCTGCCTTGAACCTGAAGAAATTTTCAATGTGTGCAAGTATACGGGAAGAAACCAGGGAATGACATCGAACAGCACAACTTGGACAGCTTTTTTAGGGTGATTATTCTTGATATGATTGACTATTCCACCTCGCTCAAGACCATAACCTGAAATGTAATACATACACTTCTCGTAGCGCTTCATGCACCGAACTGCTACCCTATGCATGATATCTTCAAAAATAGTACATGAGCTTATTGATAACCACGGAAGGTTAGTAAAAGCACAATCCATTAGGAAGCAATGTTCTTTTGGACAACATGGGCATAAAAGAAGTGAGAAGCATAGAATTTTCATGAGTAACCAGAGCCGTGCACATCTAAGTTTTATGGTGTTTGCTTAGGCAACAAAAAAAGTATAGACCTTTCATTGGTACTCTGTTATGCAGAAGTGCTGTGGCTGAATAACTGTAGTGAAGAAGAATGTCCCTCAGCCTTTAGCAGTGTGCTGCAGATTCACAGAAGGAGTAACAAAACAAAATTATACAGCAGCGATTTTCAATGAAGGAAAAAGTACTAAATATAAAGTAACTATGTGTCGGGTGGTACTTCAGTCTTCATTTGAAGTGTCACAGTAGTATGCCTGCATAACTATTATGCAAGAATATGTAAATGCATTGCAAATTTTTGTACTGGCACTTAAAGCACACCCAGCTACTGACAAAAGTTGCAAACAAAATGCACAGCCAGAAAGAAATGCTGATGAGACATTGGATCAAAGACAAATATCAGTTTTTTCTCTACTAACATGTGTTTTTTTCGATTTGATTAATGATTGTGTGGTTGCAGAAGCTACTACAGATCAAAACATTAGATTTAAAGCTACATGCACAGGTTTTTCCTATAATCAGCTTTTTCATAAATCCCACATGCTCCAAACTTTCATAGCTGACTAACAATTGGCAACTGCTGGGGTGCCATACAAGAGATTATGTTAACATAGTGATGCAAAATTTAGTAAATAAAGATAACTTTACTATACCATGACTACTCTGATTGCTAAGCATCGCTTCACTTTTGTAATTTCTAGCTGTAACAGAAGTAGTTTATTACTATCCCCCATGAATAGAGAGACGGCTTAGGTTCGAGCAAGTAATTTATACACCATTCTTATATATTTGCAATAAGTTAGATGACAATAAGAAAATTTGGAGGCCGCTTACAACAAAAACAGGCCACAAAAAGCATTAAGAACTTGTTAAATTGCCAGACACAAATGGACAGCAGTTTTGTGATTTTTCATCATCACTCTTACTGTCTTTGCCCACATGAATTTGTGCAGGCATTTCACTCATAGTTAAAATGAGCAATATGGCTTAGTTACATGAACAGTAGTCTGCAGCTATCACAAACAAAAGAAACAAAAAAACGAGCATGCTATTAAGTGTTTCAGGAAGGTGCTACCAGCAGTAACTTCCCCTCACTGCATTCACCAAAGCTATAAGGCATGCAAAACCACGGTCGGGCTAGAAGAGCGGCAAGCATGCACACTCTTACGGCCTGTGCATACAAGGAGGGAACAATAGGGCAGATTCCTCACAGCCTGTTGCAATGTGGGGGCGCTTCGAGCCAACCCACTACCCTCTTCCTTCTCCTTTTTTTCAGTCGGCGCCTCACTTCTCACCAGCCGCACGGGTTTGGATTAGAATCGATGAGGAAAACCCGCGCACGTTATACAAATCAAGAGATAGTTGTTTCTGATGAAATAACCTACAGAGATGAGTATCAATGACTTAATCTCCAATAAATTTGCCTTGAATTTGAGGCTTACTAAAGAAACTAGTAACAGAAGAACGCACTTTGAGCACAGATAATGCTGCCACGTTAACTTGCTGGGCGTGCGAGGAAAATGCTCCTTCTCAATTGCCAAACGCCAACAGCTCATCATGCCACTAGTAAGATGGCTGCAGCAGCCATCATCATACGACGGGTACGGCACCACTCATGGGCGATAATTTCCACTCCAGCAATTTTTTTTAAACCTCCTTGGTTTTAGCAAAGTTCAGCGAGGGCTCGGCCACAGTGCCACGAACTAGCGGCGGTAAAAGGTGGGAACTAGACAAGAAGCGCAGGCCCTAAGAGCGTGCGTGCCGCTTCTCTAGCCCGGCCGTGGCAAAACAAAATTATGACATCTTCATGCACTTTCCTAGAATTATGCCCAGTCAGGCACCAAGTGCTATTTATTGGGTGATGACATGACTGTGCAGCACCTTTCCAACTTAGTAGAGTGATATAAAATCAGCGTAAAAAAAAATGACCACCATCAAACAGCATATTCAAGTAGAGTGATATCAAATCAGCGTAAAAAAATGGCCACCATCAAACAGCATATTATAACAGGAGACCACAGTCAATGGTGCAGACCAGAAATTTTCTGCAGGGATGAAATAACTTAACTTGCCCAATTCAACAAGGCCTACAATGCCGCTCAGCATACCTTGAATATAGCGGGTGATGTGAAGGGGCGGCTCTGGGATAATCCAGTATATGTGGGGCTTTTCATACTGGGCTGCTAGGTTGAACCGTCCCTCGGCCACATGGCGTTTGAGGTCATAAATGGCCAACGTACGCTGGTAAGCACCTTCTCCTGAGACAACCAGCTGTGTGGGCTCAGGGCTAAGCCGATACGTTCCTACACTCTGCTCCCCCCCCAAGACCAAGTACAGCCATTATTTTCACAACAATACTATAGGTTTAGAAAGCGCTCTTTGCAAGCTGAGATCAGAGAGACATATATACTAATTTTTACAATTTATGGATATGAAGCCATATGCCAGTGGGACTGTGTGCCTAGAAGAAAATGGTGCTAATTTGACATAGGCCATTGTGTCATCACAGACAACCAAAAGTGACTATAAAATGTTGTTTTAATTATTAAAAAGGACATGAACAGCCAAGATGCACCAGTAGCCCGTAACAAAACACATAATATTGCACTCTTTAACTCTCTTTATATAAACAACAGCAGCTTTTTTCCATAAAAACTTCAGAGGGTCACTTTTTTTATGCTTACAGTGGACCTACCTCAAAAATCTAAAATATCTAATCAAAACATGTTTTCCCCGTGCGTTAAAACATCAATGAATGATAAGAATAGACTTGAAAAACATTCACAACTTCATGATACCCTTATGTCTCGGGAAAACGTGGTAGGTGCATAGTGGCAGTATTAAAACTCTTATTTACAGTGTCTCTGCAGCGCACAGTAATTTTCTGTCCCCAGTATGACAGAGTGTGACATTTTGACCAGTACTCGTGCCACCTACTGAAAGTAGGTGATTGCCACTAGCAGAGAACATTGTTTTGCAGGTTTTTTTTTGCAGCTCTAGTTTTTTGCAGCGTAAAAAGATTAAATCTTTCATGTGCTGCACAAATTTGAAGTGAAATCTGTTGGCTGACGCATGAAAACACACCTGACAACTGTAGTGGCACAGCAGACAAGAAGATGGTGTTACAATAAACGCATTCATATTGTAACATTGTAGGAGTAGTGGGACTCATTACTGCTGAATGGTAACTCTGTGTACACAATCAGTGGTCACCAAACTCAACAAGAACATATGTATGCAGTAAAGGCTCGATATGAAGCCAGAAAAACTTCATCATAATATTATGAACATCATTGCATAGTTGTTTTGGCATTTCGAGCGTGCTAAAGATGCTAAACATTTCTGATGCTTTACCATTATGCTACAATTTGCTTTGTGCATTTAGAATATTACCATTTATTTTAAAGGACTTTTTGACCCGATTGCAAATAAACCTCAGAATGTTTCCAGCATTAAACAACCTATTACTGAGGTATTAAACTTAAAAAAAAAAGCCACTTCTTAATGGAAAAATATTATCACACTGTTATTATATAGATGAATTAAAACACTGTAAAATCACACAATGCTAAGAACCACAACAAAATAAATGTAGTTTACCAGTTACTTACACCATTATTAGATACATCAACATAATGGTGCTCATGGAAGCTAAAGGGCATGAAGTCTTGAGGCCAGCTCCAAATAACTTGCTGAGAGACCATGCTGAAACAGTATAAAATATGTACAGTAAATGTCATATAGTACTTCTAGAGTTGTTGCTAAATTGTGAAAATTACTGTAGTGATGGAAAACATTTCAAATAAAGTACGAAAGTTTCTGTTCAAAATTCTTGAACGTTTTTTGAGCAAGAAGACTTATGAAAGAGGCCTTCACCCGCAGACACACAACAGGAAGCAAGCTTTTTTTCAAAAGTGCTCTTTCCTGGAAATGGAGTTTGTCGATCTTGTTTACGGCCAATAATGAGTAGCCTCCAAACCAGTGAGCACTAGCAGTTATGAATTGATGAAAAAAATATAGGTAAATGCATACTTTTCTGTTACCTAGGCTCATAATAAAAATGAATTTCATGTCTAATAGGAGGTGTAGTAAACCTAGCAATGCCTGTTTGCTTATGTATTACCGTGAACAATTTGAATGGGTCGGGCATGTCATGTGATGACGCCTAGCAATGTACGCAGAAGGAAGGAACGTAACAACATGCACAGTGTAGCAAACTTTATTTGAAAAACACGCAATACAACCAGGTCTTACTATGAATTTTGAGAATCATCAGTTTATGCAGGCAAATTTCGCTTTGAACACTGGTGCCACACTTTTAGTAGAAAGAAGCACTAAGAGAAATTATTGATAAATATCAATGTTGAGTGCCTCCTGAGTAATGCCTCTTCATTAAGAAGTATTTTACCTTGGTGAAAGACTGCTTATGTAAAAGAGTTTTGCCTACGCATGTGACAGGTCTATAAGGATTGTTCAAGAAAATGAGAGTAAATAGCAAAGGCATGCTACAAATCTTGACATAATCCCTAAATAAACAAGAGCTACTATTATGCATGCACATATATTTTGCTAATTACTACTCGCTTGAAGCTCAAACAGTGACTCCTTATTAACGGTGTTCTCGTTGTGAGGAGAAAAGAAACAGAAAATTAAGCGTCAAAACTACAATCTAGTTATGAAGCATGCCATGATCAGCAACTGCTAATTAATTTTAAGCACCTAGAACTGTTTTAACAATTTCATATTAAAATACAGTCACTGTGATTAAGATTGTACGAGACTTAGACTGCAGTAGTTCAAGGTCACAGTGATTGAGAGAGTGTGGCTGATGCATAGAGAAGGTAAGCGGCATAATTTTTTTTTTTTTTACTGTATGTTGGTGCAAGCTGAAAAAGGTTAGTGTCTCAAACTGCTCAGTGGATTATAATGAATGCCGAACTGTAAGATGGTGGTTAATTTTTAACGGCCTGATTTTTTTTTTTGCACAAAGAAAGTGCAGAACAAACATTTTGGCATTATGCGCACATCAATGCTGCTGCTTACGTCAAGATTCAGCTGTGCAACAGCTACTTAACTACCATTGCTGGTTTACAGCTTACATGAGAAAATGGTACTTCTATTTGAAAGCATCCCAACCTTAAAGTAGTAATAATGAAGCATAATAGTATAGCATGTAAAATGGGAGCCACAAGACTTGTTAAAGAAAAAGAAAGAGAATATCAAAAGGAGCAGGTGCTTTACATTTGTTTTTATGAGCAGTACTAATAGTTATTCGATAGAGTTTCTCACAAAAATACCTAGGGGGAATCTAGCGCCACCATCTATGCGAATTTCTTAAAGGGCCAGTCAACAGGCTCCAACTTTTTTTTTACACCCCCCAAACAAGCTCGGAAATTCACAGAGTAGACCGCAGCGATCTCGTTTTCTGAATATTACAGAACTGCGCGCCACGCTGAGGCTCCATTTTAAAAAACAATTTCCGTGCTCCTTTTCTACCCCTGACCAATGGCCCTTCCACGCGCTGTGACGCCAACTCGGCGATCGACGATGTGACACAGCACGCCGCTCGTCGATTGGTCTAAACCAGGTATCAATAAACAATAGTGAAGTCAACAACAGATCTTGTTCCACCCACAGCTACGACAAGGCTATTCAATCATACGAGTTGCAAAATTTCCCATAGGCTCCATGTATTGAAATCCGGACACGTCACTGGCCCAATTTTCGGTAGTGAGCAGATTGTCGTGCCACCTGTTGATGAGCACACCCCCTATTAAACGCATTATTTGTTTTGTGTTGCTGCTCCCAGATGGCGCGACAGTCTTTTCCCCAAAAAAATCGAACTCCCGAAAATTCGGGCCAACTTCATGTCCGGGTTTCGGAATGCAGCTCTGCTGCAAATTGTTGTCGGCTGCAAATCGAGCGACTGGGCTGCGGAGAAGCTTCAGCACCGGGTAAACAGTAAACAACCAGGCATCACAGCAAGCGGAAGTGCGTTGCGACTGATCGAGTTCGCCGATGACGTCAATCACTGACGTCTGTTGTTACATTGCCGAAGTGGGCGGAGTCACGACAATGGGCTTCGCTTTTCCCTCCCTCTGGAGGAGAAGAGTGGTGGAGCTGAGCGAAAATTTGAAGCCAGCTGAAAGCGATGTTCTAGCCCCTGTAACTTCCTTATTATAGCACGTATTTGCAAAATTCTTGCGGCAGCATGTTAACGAAGTAAAACTGCACACATTTTTCTTTACAACAATTTTCGGACCTTAGTACTATTTACTGACCCTTTAAGGGGACCCGTTGGAGTGCTAGGAATGACGATACATGTGTCTGTGAGGCTTGTGCTGGCTGGTGTTGAGCGAGACTTTGGCTCAAAAGCAGATACGACTACGCAAATAAAGCTTCTCTAATACAAAGCTTTTATAAGCGGATCTCGTTCATGCATATTATATTTTAAAATAGAAGCCCACATACCTAGACCGCACAACCAAATGGGGAAAGAAAGAAACAGACGGCATAAATTAGCTGAGGGACGACAAAGCCAGCCCTCAGCATAAATTAGTTGAGGGCTGGCTTTGTCATCTGCCTGACAAATTTAGCGGCCATTCGTTACTTTTTATGCTTTGTAAAATTGTACATCGATGCAGAATTTTTGAGTGTTAAAGACGTTTCTGTGCAATGCAAAACATAAATACCTTAGTACGTGCCCTCTTAGTAAGAAATCAACCATTTTAGCGTAAAGCCAGACGCATCTTCGAGGTATACAAATTGAAGTCAAGTTTAAAGCTCACATATCCCGGCATTCCCTTGCATCCAGTAGCTCATTAGCGCCAGATTTCCCTCTCGGTAATTTTGCGAGAAACTCTGTGAGATATTCTGAGGAAGACATCAGAAGAAATGATTGCTGATACTACGATCTTGGCCACTTACTCTGGTGTCCATTTTGTGCAGCGACAGCATCAATCACCAATGACACTGACATTTGCAGCTCCAGGATGGTGTGGGCACAATTTTCATCCTGATGTGAAATAAAAAAAGAGCATGGCAGTTACTTCTCCTTGACCTATGCAAAAACTTCCTAGGATTACTAGAGCTTAAATACAGAAAAAAAAGCTAAAAAAAAAAACAGGAAGATAAGACCTTTGGATGGAGCATGTGCAGAACTATGAGACTTACAGCTTAACACCTACAAATATAGCCACACATGTGTAAATGGTGCAATGTACAGTAAAACCTCGTTAACCCAAAGTCATTGGGGTCATGAGAAATCTTCAAATTAAGCAGGTTTTCGAATTAACAGAACATACAAATAAGTGGGATGCAAGGAATTCGGAAATATCTTAAGTAATCAGGGCTGGTTATTTGCTGTGCTGGCTAGTTTGCGGCTCCAAAGGTTACGTTTTTTAGCAATACCTGGTCTTTATTTTACCGCAAACACAGGAGAATGTTGGGCCTCGTGAATGCCACCGAAAAAAAAAAAAAAGAGGACGCTGTCCTGATAAACTGAAATGCGCACTTGCGGAAAACAAGACATCTTCACTGCAACACAGTCGTGACACGCCAGCAGCATGTCGCCAGCACTTCGCTGCATCAGCACGTCATCATGCGACCACTCGGCCATTCTTTCTGATAAAATAAAGAATTTAATAATGGCCAGTGTGACAAAATTCGCAAAGTATATTGGCTGGAAAACATGATCATTGAAGCTTTCGAACTTGGCTTTCCAAGTAGGCATTGCAGGCAAGAACTCCGCAGCAGTGCAAATGCGCAAACTGCTAGAGCAACCGACAATTGGAGGTTTGCATACATTGCCAACTAGGCCAAACTGTCTTTTATTATTTATTTACAATCCCAGAAAGAAGGGTAAATAATGACGCATTGACGTTGCAAGAAACATGCAATGCGTTGCCCAAGCGTCACCACTGTGCTGCAGTGAAGCACATTGTGCTTTCCGCAGGCACACAATTTGGTTGACCACGAGACCGGTTTTTTTTGTGTGTGTGTGTGTGTGTGTGTGTGTGTGTGTGTGTGTGTGTGTGTGTGTGCGCGCGCACGCTAGACGTAGCGAGGCTTGGTTACTTCAGTTACCCCTTATTAATATCACTACATTGCATTGCCTTGTGGCTCTTAAGGGCCGTTGTTTCCGCGGATTTGCGGTGAAATCGAGATCAAGAACTGGCACATGGCACCTAAAGTTGTCGAAATAACCGGACTGGTTGGTGCTGACTGCCACTGCAGAAATATTTTGAATTAAGTGTATATTGAAATAGCAGAGTTCGAATTAAAGAGGTTTTAGTGTACTGTATACAATTACATAATCAGACATACACCAAGTATACACATAGCCTGTTTTTATAGTTGGGGTGGGCAAATAGTGAACTAAATATGAAGATACAGCAAAGAGTTATTCTGAATACAACTCAATTCTACTGTATTTCTATTTAGTAGACAAAGATAAAGATGACAAAGTAGACAAAGATAGAATGTAGACTTGAGTGGCAAAGCAAACTAATTCATGTAATTCAGCACACATAATGAAATTTACATTATGTGTGTACTGTTATGACTGGCAGTGCCAGGACCCGACGATCTCCAATGGATGCTCATCGGCGTACCTGCCAAATGTGGTACGCGTCCAGCAGAAACGCAAGAGGTGTCCGGTGCGCTGCAGGGAACATGCATCGGCGTTGTTGGGACAGACAGTTCGCGTTTGAGGAGAAACGAGTGCACGAACTGAGAATATAAGAAGCGCGTCGTGTGTTCGCTCGGTGCTCTCTCTCCGGCCTTCAATACGGCTGGTCGTGTCTTGTGTGGCCCGCCGATGTTGCCCCTAAGGAGGAGTGAGCGTCGTCTCCGGATCAAATAAAGTTCTTTGCCTGCCTCCTTACCTCGTGTAAAGGTGCATCCCGACGCCTAATCTAGTGAACAGCTGTACATATGTAATTAAATTGTGTGTTTTTGTCGGCAAGAGTCTTCTTTCCCCGGCACCCGGTGAAAGCCTGTGCCCCGCTCCTCGGTCACATCAGTACTATCAATGTACTATCAAGTGGATAGCTTGTAAGCTCGAAGCAAGTGAAATACAATGAGAACTTCCAGAATCATGACGAGGGCAATGATTAAAATAAAACGGTTAAAGGCCACAAGATGCACGCAGAGAAATTGACTCCTTATAAGCTAAAGTAACACCGTAACTGTAAGCCAATACTATTATTGTGAGTTATTCTAGCTTTCAAGGTCACTTTTGGAGTATTAAAATAAGGGGGGGAGGGGACAATATTCAGAACCTTAGGAAAAACATGTAATACAATAGACCACGTAAACACAAAAAGAAATGATATTGATAAATCTGACAGCAATCTAAGTATGAACCCTTCATCAGACTGTCCAATAAAACTATGTTACTGTCCAATATTGTCCACTCTGTCATTTAGCCTGTACACATATACCGGTGTTTTATGGCAAAATACAAATGATACACTCAGAGCTAGAAGGTGCGAAAAATATGCAAATAAGTATCAGTCAATGCACTTTTGTTTGAACATTTGGAAAAGCACAGCAACAAAGTTAGGAGGTAAACAGTGTCACAATATGCTATAAAGATACCCTGATACCATGCCAGCATGTCTGTCAAACTTATTTAATAAAATATCAAAAGATAGCACACAACATTCGTCAAATGCTCAGCTTGTGCTTATAAAAATTTACATCGGCATTACATATGGAACCCAATGAGTTAATATGCCAAACAAAAGTGAACACAAATTAAACAAAAAAATTAAATACTACAAAAAATAGAAGTACTTGCAATAATTTTTAGGATAATCACTCAACACATTTATAATTTAAATTAAAGTTATTAATTTAAGAACTTTGTATAACCCCTTCAAATTGTTAGTATTATTATCAATTCACAACCAAGTTTCTCTTCATGCAGTTATTCTTATGCATGATATTGCCTCACATCCACATACCTGGCAGACTGTCTTCAGGTCTAGGCCCAGGGACATGTAGTTTGCTGTGAACAGTTGTAGGGCATGTAGCAACGTTGCAAGTCCTGCCTGTTATAAATAAAAAAGTTTGTTGGAAAAAAATATGTTGCAGTTCCACCCGATAGGTGAAGCTTTGAGAGTGATATGTAGCAATGTTTTAGACAACTACACAAATTATGGTCAGTAGTGTTATTTATGTAAATATTTGCTTACTAAATTAAAAAATAAGCCCAATGACTCACATGTACAAGCAACACCAACAAATCACACTTGATATTTGCAAACACTCACTGTCGCAAAGCTATGCTTAATAGTGAAGACGATGGTGAGTGAACTAATCATTTCAAGTGTGAGTTCCCAGTATGAAACACTATTAGTTGCTTATTTCAGTAATGTTCACGTTAGACTCTTTTCAAGCTGCTTTATAAGAATCAAGTTGCCATTTAACGAACTCAGACAATCAGGCAAGGAATTGGCAGCCTAGAAGTGCTTACCTTGCTGCTGCATGGTAAAAGTTTCTTCCACGGAGTCAAGTTCTCTGTGCAGACTGACTCACGTGGCAAAGCAGCATACCGCAAAAGTGATGAGTTGGCAGAACGAACCCATCCTTGAGGCTGGAAAGATCGCTTCGGACGCACGGTCACCGTGTCATCAACAAAGTTGAGTGATGCACACAGCTGGCCTGACAAAGCATTTGTCAAATTCTTCCAAGCACTGGAAATGCTGAAAGACATTAACATTTTGATCAGATGATTAAATGAGTTGTTCAAGAAAGCAGCAGACAAAAATGCTAATTTTATGACCAACCATCTGGTACGCGAAAGAATGTACCCTTTTTGCCAACCAAACCATCAGTTTTATGTTAGCTGTGTGCATGTGGACAGTAGTACAAATGGCTTATAAAGACAACACTCACATTGTGTGCTCCTAAATAGAAAGTCTCAACCTTCTTTCTTCTCTCTATTCTATAGATCTATGCACTAGGCAATACATGCCATGAATGAACAGACAGCTATTAGTTTTGTTCTTTTATAATGTCTCCTTATTATCACCATGTAATACTAAGCACAATTCAATTATGAGAACAACTCCTAAAAAACCTTCCATCAAGCAGAAACTTCAGTTCTGCCACCAAAATCTGAAAACAAGACAGCGGACAACCAAAGATCATATTAGCAAACTCATCTAACTGCAGTTCAATCTAAACCCATGACACGAAAGTTAAAGATACCCTCAGCAGGACACACTGCAAAGTATTATTATATGAACTAAGTTCAAAACCACCATCTCAGACGTCTTATCGGGAAATTTTTTCAATAAGTTTATTAGCGGAACAATCGGAAGAAATGAAACCGTCCTGTTAGCCTGACATCAGAAGAAGAGAGAAACTGTCAGCTTAAATGCTCTCTCCATTTGCCTCAACTAGTCTCTACATGTGGTGCACTTCGCCTGTCTTTATCATGTGTCGGAGCAAAGGGTGTGTGTGGTATTTCATGATGAGCTTCACTTCCTTTGTTTTTGTTTTTGAATATTTCTTTGTCGCATATTTCCATTACCGATTTTATGTGCTCCCCACTGACTGACGAACCGAAGTCAAAGCCATGTGCGATTTAAGCAAGATGTGTGTGTGTGTGTGTTACTTTGACACTCGTTCAATGCATAGCATTCTTGGAAGGAGTGCGATTGCTTTTCGGCTTGAAATTCCAGCCACTTCCACAATATGAAGTAGTTTCATATTTTGCGGGCACAACTGCTACTGCCCAATCCATGCTCTGCACCTGTTTATTTGCAATGCTACAATCTAGTAAGCTTGAATATATGTATAATAAATAATATTCCAAAAGAAGCAAAGCCAGAGCTACATGAAAAGCTGAAATGGAAATTATCCCATTTCACAGCACACAGTGCTGTAAAGGGACCTGAAAAGTGGAGCCAATAGTATTTCCACATATGTTACCATTCAACAGATGTAAACTTGCACTTCTCTTCAGAACAATTTTGGAGCTACAGTGCCATGAAACATACCGTCAACCACAAAAGTTTACAGACCGCATGAGCATATGCTAAACTGCTGCCCGTGCTGCCTACCATTGATTGCAGTGCTGGGATGGAAATGTGTCTTCTGTTATTCACTACCACATAAATTTTCTACAGTCATGCAGTGCATTATCAGTTGTTTTCATGCAAAGTGTGCACACTGCTCAAATTTATATTGACAACTGTTATCCTGAGAGGCTGTTCTCGAGACTGTTATGCCACAGGCATGAACCTCGTTCGGGAGCGCTTGTTTCCATGACGAGCCCAGTTCAGGCAAACTCCCCCCCCCCCTCCAAGCGCCACCTTCTACGCAGAATGCGGCACCATGCAGTTCCGGGCAAAGCGTCGCCTCCTCCGCCAAGCCACCGTGCCGTTCCGGGGAAAGCTTCACCTTCTCCTTTAAGCATAGGAAACTGGTCTCGTAGAAGAGACCACAAACGTTATTTAAGGACATGCCGGCCCCATGTTTGAGAGATTTGCCCCAGCCGATGTCGTCGTGCTGGCCGGCTCTGTACGAATGACAACCTGCTATAGTAAACATTATCCCTACTTGTTGCTGTTTTCAAAAACTGATTGCTTCCTTACTCCGCCTCTGGGCAAAGGCTTCAGCGAAGTCCGTTCGACTGCTCGCTGCTTTCGGCTACCGCTAACATCGCAACAAACAGGAAATCCTAACAGTGGTGGCAGACGTGAATGCCATCAAAGCGGACTTCATAACAGTGGTGGCAGCCGTGGGATGCGAACAAATCACGCATTTATAAGTGTGGTTGGCAGCTTCGGGATACGATACCGTAGGTTTGGCAAGTCTGATCGGATCTCCGAGCACAAGGACAACCGCCGTGATAGTGTTTGGCGACGCTGGGATACGCTACCCTACGTTGGCACGCCGGGACAAGCTACCCCGGATCTCAACATTGGCAAGTTGGACCTGATCACTGAAGTCCCGAGGACACTCCACGACACTGTTCGACGACAGTCACAAGTTGGACCGTTGTCGGCTACTTTGGTTGAGCGCCCAACGCTTACTGTTCATTTCGCCAGACCTCTCTAGCACAGGCAGATGTCAGGAGAGTGTTTTCTGTTTTTTGTTGGTTATAATTTAATATTCACGTACTTTAAACCAAGAGATTAGTTTTTGAGTAAGGTGAACATCAGTAGTAGAGCATCACGAGGGACAAGATCGCGATGGAGCAGTACCCTGTGGAGGACCTCCTCGAAATTTATGGAGCAATGGGGATTTCCGCCGGATCCGCTAAAACAAGGGATGCGATTCTTGAGGTCATGCGGGCAGAGAATGTGACTGCCGATGAGGCTGACAAGTTTTGGGAGCTCATTTGCGAGAAAAGCCAAGAAGAGCAAAAGAGCTCAAAGGCATGAACAATGGAAGACTGAGGATTTGATTTGATTGATTGATGATATGTGGGGTTTAATGTCCCAAAACCACCCTATGATTACGAGAGACGCCGTAGTGGAGGGCTCCGGAAATTTCGACCACCTGGGATTTTTTAACGTGCACCCAAATCTGAGCACACGGGCCTACAACATTTCCGCCTCCATCGGAAATGCAGCCGCCGCAGCCGAGATTCGAACCCGCGACCTGCGGGTCAGCAGCCGAGTACCTTAGCCACTAGACCACCGCGGCGGGGCAAAGACTGAGGAGAGTAGAAAAAAGAGAGAGCATGCTCTCAGAATGAAAGAGCTTGATTGTAAAATTGAAGCGATTAAGTGGTAGCGAGCACAATACCGACTCAAACTCTTCAGAATGGACGAGAACATCGTGTCTTTTCTCGTTAATTTGAAAAGGTCTGCGACAATGTTAGTGTTGGGCGAGACTTATGGTCGGAGAAGCTTGCCACGTTGCTTCCGTGCAAAGTCGCAAGCACTTTGGAGCGCTTATCCGCCGAGGAAGCGCATGACTTTGATAGGGTTAAACACGCTTTGTACCGCCACTTTGCTGCCCTGAGTCCTACCGATTGGGAAAGTCGGAGCAATTAAAAAGAGCGCTGAAGCGCGTCGTAGGGCGCTAGAGGTAGACGCCTGCCGAAAAGAGTGTGAGGATGATACGCATCGTAAAGCGATGGAGGCCGAGGCCCGCACGTGCGCTTGATGATGACGCTCACCGGAAAGTGTTAGATGATAAGGACAGAAGGAAAACGCAAGAGGCTGAGGCCCGTTGCTATGCGCAAGTCGCTGAAGTGCGTCAGAAAAAGCGGGGCGCTGAAGAAAGTCGCGAGGCATCTGACATTGAGGCCCGCCACAAGGTGCAGGATGCTGAAGTGCGTCCGACAGAGCCAGACGCTGAGGTGCAGCGCGAGGAGTCAGGGGCCGAGGCCCATCGCATAGCTAAGGACGCCAAGGTGCATCATAAAGGGCTAGAGACGGAGCCGCTTCGCAGCGCACGTAATCAGGATGAATTGCGTCAACGAGACCAGGAGGCCGACTACGAAGGCCTGGAAACAAGGGCTATCTTGGAAAGGGAGAGAGAACCCTTATGAACTGAAGAGACAACTTCAGGCGAGTTGATTGGCTTTAATTGCACCGGGAATCCCGTTCTGTTGGAAGCAGAGACAGCTAGCAACCGGCCCAAAGAAAAGCTAGCTAACCAGTCTAGAGTTTTGGCAGTGCCTGTCAGAGGCAGCACACTTAAAATTAGGTGTGTTGAAGCAGCCGGCATTCCTAGCCAATCCAAGAGAAAAAGGCGTCGGCGTAAGCTCGCAGTGGTAAAGACGACGGGTGCCAAGCGTGCTAAAGCCGCTGCTAAGTACCATGAAGTCTTCGTTCTAGAAGCCAGGCTCAAAGCTAGGCGTACGAAAAGGCTCCATAGGAAATGTTTTAAGCTTAGACCATTACTGAGATTGAGATTAGGCAGGAAGCATGTCAAGAAACGTCGACTTTCAGGGAAATTCGGACGCCGGATCATCGCCCGGTCTCATCATTTTCGGTGCGCGTAGAGGCAACCACGAAGTGAAGCATCGCTTACGCCTGAGCTGTAACACAGGCTGTTGTTCCCCACCGTGACGGAAGGGTCACTAGTTTACCGGGAGGAGTAAACGATGCAGTGCAGATGGCTCTTTCTTCGCCAAACCTGTTCGCCGAACTGAGTTCGGCAAACAGGTTGTTTTATCGTTCCTTTGTCCAGACCGCAACCCTTGTAAGCTCTGGAGTGCGCGACTCCCCAGAGTTCGTCTGAGAGGGTGCCATTTTGCCATTACCGAGTGTGTATTTTGTGTTTAGTTTTGAGAATAACTTTTTCTAATTGTGTCGACCGCTGATGAGCAAGGAATGCATCTGAATTTTCGTAAGTTTTCCTTCCTTCTCATCGGAGAAGCAAACAGTGATATGGTTGTTTGATTAATTTTGTTTTTCTTAATATTTTGAAACGTAAAGGTTAGCGTATTTTATTTTAACAGAGAAGGCTGAGTAAAAGCCCCCGTTTAGAATCCTTTTTGTGTTTGGCATTGCGTGTTAGTATGTGCATCAGTGTAGGTTAACTTTCAACTTTGTTTTGCATAATGCACGCAAGTTTGATTTTCAGCCCTATTTTCTTTATTTTTCAAGCGTACTTTCTCTTGTCGTGATGATCATTCGCCTCGCACATTGAATGAGAGCTTGTCGGAGGACTAACTTTGTTATGTTTAGCAGTCTGACGCTTGCAAGCGACGCCAATGTGCATGATTCAGAAGTGCCTGATATTCTAAATTGTAGTTTCGGGGCCAATTTGAGTTAACCTCAGCAGCTTGGATCATCCCCAATCTGCCTAAGTCACAATCGAGACTCACTCACGAAAAAAAAAAAATTCTGTTTGGTTTAGCAGTGTCATGTACTGACACTGCTTAGTAAAGGTGTGTCGGCATTATGTGTTCCTCCTGAAATCCATTGCTCGTGATGCTATTTTTACTTGCTCAGCCATATCTCTAGGGAAATATTTTCGTTTCTGCTGGTCTGGCGATTTGATCAGCATTTGGAGGGCGCTTGCTTTGGCCAGAGTTGTTTGGCTTTGTGCTCGACTCCGTCGTTCCAGTAATCCTGCAGGGCTCTGAAAGTCACCACGGGCGGAGAGAGCAGAACAGCCGCAATTCTCAATGAGCAACTAGCATCCCTCCTTCTGAGCCGTGCTAGACAGCTCAAAACTCCGGATGCATTGTCTGGCGGTGGGGATGGGGCGGCGAGATCCTCGTTTGGGAGCCCTTCTTTCCACGAGAACGAGTGCAGTTCAGGCAAACTCTCTCCCCCCCCCCCGTGCCACCTTCTACGCAGAAGGCGGCACCGTGCAGTTCCGGGCAAAGCGTTGCCTCCTCCGCTGAGCCACCATGTCATTCCGGTCAAAGCTTCACCTTCTCCTCCAAGCATCGGGAACTGGTCTAGTAGAAGAGACCAAAAACGTTATTTAAGAACGTGCCGGCCCCATGTTTGAAGGATTTTGCTCCAGTCGAAGTCATCGTGCTGGCCTGCTCTGTACAAACGACAACCTGCCATAGTAAATGTTCCTACTTGTTGCTGTTTCCAAAACTGATTGCCTCCCTATTCCGCCTCTGGGCGAAGGCTTCAGCAAAGTCCGTTCGACTGCTCGCCGCTTTCGGCTACCGCTACCATGGCAACAAACAAGAAATCCTAACAGTGGTGGCAGACGTGAATGCCATCAAACCCGACTTCATAACAGTGGTGGCAGCGGTGGGATGCGAACAAATCCCACATTATAACAAGACAGAAGCACATAATCACGGCTGCCAAAGAATGGGTCGCATCAAGAAGAGAAAGGTAAGAAATATTTGTGCCTAGTTAAAAAAAAATAGCAAGGCCATCAATTATAAGAAGAATGTATCTTGGGTTTAGCACTGCTGTCAATCATGGCTGACATATGAAATTTTGGAAAGAAGCTCTCCGCTATGTGCTCGCGTGGTCCGCAAACTTTTGTGGATCACTGTACATGGTTGCAGCAAAGCTATTAACCTGAAACATTACCTATATCCAATGAAGCACATTCACTGGCATGTGAAGAATAACATGAAACAATGAAATTTATGATAAAATGTGCTGAAGTAACCAAATCATGCTTTGATTTTTTTGCTTGCTGACTATCCAAGAGCCCTTACACCAGTGAAAACGGCACTACAAAGATGTTCATGCCCCAGAAATACAATGAAATATAACTACTGACAGAAGATTTCGAAAGTATTACCCCACAAAAAAACATATCCTGAAAATGTTGCACATCAAAAATATTATATAGTTTATGGTATAGAATCTTTGAGTGGCTGGCCACACAGATGAAAAAGTAGGCCCAAAAAGGGCATGCCACAACATTCTCAGATTAAGCAATTTTTTTAATTTTATATACTGAGCCATTTCTGATTGTACAAAATATATCTGCTTCCCAATTTTTCACAAAGGGCGCCATAGAGAGATACCAACATGAGGGCTCTAAAAATGTCAACCACCTCGGGTTTTATAACCGGTACCCAAATTTAAGTAAACCAGCTTCAAGCATTGTCACCTCCATCAAAAATGCGGCCGTCATGGCCGGGGTTCAATATCGTAACCTGCAAAGGGTCAATCATGAACACTGTTTTAGTAATTACAAGCTCACCTTGGGGTTTCGGGGACAAACCAAGCCCAAAGATGAGCACTGGTGGTGCCTCCTGAAAAGGGTAGCCCCACTTAAGATGTTGCCAGCGGCCCTGAGTTAGTGAGAGGTGTAGTTCTTGGACATGCTGCTGGCTCACATTTCACCAAGGGACAGAGGAAAAAGCCGGAAGTGTTTGACTGCATATAGTGGAATAAATTGCGGAATTTTCACTTTTCATAGCTGCAGTGATAGCAGTTTACCTCCTATACTATTTAGTACGTTATGTGAGCGACACATTTAAAGAAAAAAAAACACTCATTCATGAAGCCTCTACCACTCTTGATGAGAGGTGTTGTATATAGATGTCCAAGAAAATATGTAAGTTAGCTTCACTGTAAAGGTAATTCCTTTTGTGGCTGCTACGCTGAACATGCCGAAGCTCAAAAAGAGTGGAACAGTTACTGCTTCTAATTCGAGAGAAGTGCGTGCTTTATAGCTGCATGCATCTTTCTTGCACCGTCTCGTCCAAACTGCACTTTAAATTTCTGCATTCTGTACAAAGGAGGCTGGTGGGATAATGAACCTCAAGTATGCTTGACAGTGAAACAAAATTATTTAATGAAAGGGGGATAGAAAAGAGAGAAAAGTGAAGTGCCAATTACCAGCAGTTTACATGCACGGAAGGAGTATAATAGACTCTCATTAAACGGAACTGCTGCTTTAATGGAACAAGTGCTTCTGACAAGATTGGTTTTGTTCTAGCATTCTGCAACCCAATTACCTTTCAGTAAATGGAACTCCTGTAAAACGGAACATATTTTCCTGGTCCTTTCAGGTTCCATTCAATGAGAATCTACTGTACTTTTTCTCCTGTATGCTTCTGGGAGAGTCATGAAATAGTTGGCTGTTGGTGCTTCACTTTGTTCTTTTTGTACTTTTATCATGAAATGTATTTTGCACCACAGTCAAACATACTTAAGTAATATAAGCACCAACTTGCTCAAAATGAAGTCCTTTTGGATAATAAACCTCTTTTGGAAGATAAATGAGTACTACAAGAAGTGACAACACCATCAGAAGACATCACTGTGACCACTTTCTGCCTTAAGGCAGACTTTTGTTTCCCAGATTTTGTAATGGGTGCACATATAGCAGCACACATGTGTTAACAATATGGGTAATTGCAGTTACTAATAAAGTAAAAGTGATGCTTAGTCTCTTATACTACAATTGAGGCATAAATACAACAAACTAACTCAGTACCAGTAATTAGTTATATTGCTAGGCAATATGATTAGGAATGAATTCATGAACATATTCACACCACATGACGTATGCATCAAAACGGAGTTATCTATAGAAGTACTGCAGTCATAATGCAGATACATATCGCAACTACACTTATGACTGTGCGAGTAATCACGTAAGAATAAGCAAGTTTAAAGTTCTAGCCACATTTTAGCATAGCCAAGGATCTACGTCCAATACATACATTAGAATGAACGAAAGCAAGAGGTGAACGCTCCAACCGACACTTCCACAGAGTAACTCCACCGATCCCAATTCTGCGTCATGAATTTCTGCATTACACAACGCGACCTCGTATGAGAGAAACATCCTACTCAAACGTGTAGCGAATGACAGGCAGTCATCATCATCATCATCAGCCCCTGACTACGTCCACTGCAGGACAAAGGCCTCTCCCATGTTCCGCTAGTTAACCCGGTCCTGTGCTTGCTGCTGCCAATTTATACCCGCAAGCTTCTTAATCTCATCTGCCCACCTGACCTTCTGTCTCCCCCTAACCCGCTTGCCTTCTCTGGGAATCCAGTCAGTTACCCTTAATGACCAGCGGTTATCCTGTCTACGCGCTACATGCCGGCCCATGTCCATTTCCTCTTCTTAATTTCAACTATGATATCCTTAATCCCCGTTTGTTCCCTAATCCACTATGCTCTCTTCTTGTCTCTTAAGGTTACACCTACCATTTTTCTTTCCATTGCTTGCTGCGTCATCCTCAATTTAAGCTGAACCCTCTTTGTGAGTCTCCAGGTTCCTGCTCCGTAGCTAAGTACCGGCAAGATACAGCTGTTATATACCTTCCTCTTAAGGGATAATGGCAATCTACCTGTCATAATTTGACAGTGCTTGCCGAATGTGCTCCACCCCATTCTTATTCTTCTAGTTACTTCAATCTCGTGGTTAGGCTCTGCGGTTATTACCTGCCTAAGTAGACATAGTCTTTTACAACTTCAAGTGCACTATTACCTATCTCCAAGCGCTGCTCCTTTCCGAGGTTGTTGTACATTACTTTCGTTTCCTGCAGATTAATTTAAGACCCACCTTCTGCTCTCCTTGTCTAACTCCGTAATCATGAGTTGCAATTCGTCCCCTGAGTTACATAGCAATGCAATGTCATCGACAAAGCGCAGGTTACTAAGGTACTCTCCATTAACTCTTATCCCTAACTGTTCCCATTCTAGGCTTGTGAAAACCTCCGGTAAGCGCGTGGTAAATAGCATAGAGGAGATTGTGTCCCCCTGCCTTACACCCTTCTTGATTGGTATTCTGTTGCTTTCTTTTGAACCACTATGGTAGCAGTTGATCCCCTGTAGATTTCTTCCAGGATGTTCATATACTTCATCGACGCCCTGATTCCGCAGTGTCTGCAGGACGGCTAATATTTCTACTGAATCAAACGCCTCCTCGTAATCTATGAAGGCTATGTATAGTGGTTGGTTATTCTGAGCATTTCTCTATAACCTGATTGATAGTATGAATGTGGTCGATTGTTGAGTAGCCTGTTCGAAATCCTGCTTGTTCTTTTGGTTGATTGAATTCTAATGTTTTCTTTACTCTGTTAGCAATTACCTTTGTAAATAGCTTGTATACTACAGAGAGCAAGCTGATCGGCCTGTAATTCTTCAAGTCCTTGTCATCTCCTTTCTTATGTATTAAGTAGATGTTAGCGCTCTTCCAAGACTCTGGTACTCTTCCCGTCAGGAGACATCTCATAAACAGGGTGGCTAGTTTTTCTAACACAATCTATCCTACATATTTCAGCAGATCTGATGTTACCTGATCCTCACCAGCAGCTTTGCCTCTTTGCATGCTCTCCAAAGCTTTTCTGACTTCTTCTATCATTACTGGTGGGGTGTCATCTGGGTTACTGCTAGTTCTTATAGTATTAAGGTCGTGGTTATCCCGGCTACTGCACAGATCTCTGTAAAATTCCTCTGCTATTTTAACTATCCTACCCATATTGGTAGTTATTTTGCCTTCTTTGTCCCTTAATGCCTACATCCGATTTTTGCCTATCCCAAGTTTCTTGTTCACTGCTTTGACGCTTCCTCCATTTTTCAGAGCATGTTAAATTCTCTTCATGTTATACCTTCTCACATCGCATACCTTATGCCTATTAATCAACTTTGAAAGCTCTGCCAGTTCTATTTTGTCTGTTGTACTTGAGACTTTCATGATTTGACGCTTCTCAATGAGATTCTTCGTTTCCTGGGAAAGCTTGTCAGTTTCCTGTCTAACTACCCTGCCTCCAACTTCCACTGCACACTCCGTAATCATACTTGTCAGATTATCATTCATTGTATCTACGCTAAGGTTGGTTTCCTCACTAAGAGCCGAGTACCTGTTCTGAAGCGAGACTGAATTCCTGTACTTTCCCTCTCAGTGCTAGCTCATTGATTGGCTTCTTGCGTATAAGTTTCTGTCGTTCCTTCTTCAAGTCTAGGCAAATTCGAGACCGTACCATTCTATAGTCACTGCATCGTACGGGCAGTAACGAAAGTTTACCATAAGCCCTTACCTGTTTCCTTCGTTCTGTCAAAGTCCCATCTCGTTGTGAAAAGAAAGTAACTATAAACGTGACCACTAGATAAAGGCTTTATAAAGAGTTCTTCTGTAAAAGTATCACTGTGTAGATCATTCGTCACACTGCACTGATGACAAGAAAACTAGACAGCCACCACAAACATAAATTCAAGGCAGACGCCATTTTTCAACAATCTGGGATTTTCAGTCGGCATTCAGCAAGCGAGCAGAGCGTTACTTTAGTATGAATACAAATAGTCTGAAAGAAGGTGATAATTTCAAAATAATTTTTTCTAAAGTTATTTTTATAATTATATATAAATATTAGGAAATAGTTTATAGTGGTCTAAATTGGCGTGGTTGCAGAAGCAAGGAACATAACAAGCATTTAGGAAACTTTAGGTGGACAAGGAAGAAGTGCGCGTCTCGTCTACTAACCAAGGCAGTCACCATGTCGCTCGTGCGGTGTGTTCGCTGCGCGTGAAGTTGTTTTGTTCGAGCGGTTGCGGTTTTTCTTAGGTAAATTGCTTCTCTGTCGAATTTCGAGTGGCTTCAAGTGACGGCAGCGATGTATAGGAAATGATACTGGCCAAAGAGTGTGCAGCAGTCTCCAAGACAGTTTTTAATGCGGAAGAACGCTCGTGCCTCGGTCGGTGTGGGCGCGCGCTTCGCACTGGGAATGCCGCCTGAAGCGCGTCGGTAAGACGCGTTCGCTTGCGATTCTCGAACGCTTGCTCGTTGCTACCGCGACGTGGGAGCGTACGATTCAGCTTCGCTGAGTGAATGGACGTCAGCATGCCGTTCTCAAGACGTAATAACTCCTTGTGAGTAGCGACGGACAACACGAGTCTGAGCTGATTGGAACAATGAAGTGAATGTGAAAGGTGAAAGATGAAGTCAGCTTTCAAAGAACGGCAGTTGTCCGATTACTCGACAACATCGCAGCGACCTAAGCGTAATGCTTCTACAAAAGGACTGGTAAGTATGTTTTCTCTATTCAAGTCATGGAATGTAGGACGATACTCCAAGCGTTGTCCTGCATACCTAACCCAGAAAAAAAAAAAAAAAAGCGAGGATGGTTCTTGCTTTTTTTGTTTATCATCGAAATTAGTAGGCGTGGTGCGGTGCCATCTGCGTTATTCTATTTGTGATTTTGTTGTGTTCCCTAAAATCTAGAGCAAGGAAATCGTGCCCACAGCATTCGAACTGTATCGTTGGTTATTGCTCTTCCTGCAAGCGCTTGTTAATTTCTGCTTATGTTTTGGATATCGTCCGTATCTGGTGATAATCGTTCTCTATTGGAACATTACTATTAACGACAACCATCACGATAAAGCTAGTTTAGCGCAGCTCGAGGAGATAGGAAGGTACAAAAAGTTGCTGACCAAGCTACTGATGCTTTCGGAGCTTATGTGGTATAGGATCTAAAGTGACTGATGTCTGCGCATGTGAATGGCCCCGTGATTTAATTCTCAGAAGTGATGTGTGCATTGTTATTGATTTCATCCATTGATCTACAAACTTATCAATTCTGGCACCCGAAACCACAAAGTTGTGACATAACACTGCCTCTACTAATAAGGTGCGCTGGCCAACTTCCACCTCTGCATAGTCGGGTTAATCTGTGTTTCTTCCATGCGCTGTAAAAAATAGATGATGCATGTTATCTGCACAGTGGTGAGGGCAGAAATGGCAAGGAGTTGTGCTCCATCCACGTGTCATATACATTTTTATGCTTATGAGGTAACATTCTGCAAGCTACATAGGCTCGCGGTATGTGTTCTAATTTGTTTTAGCACAGTCACAACACCTGGATGCGGCAAGTGCAGAAATCAGCACACTGTACTGTCTTATAATGCGAGCAAAAACCTCATGATCATTGAAATTTCTGTGCTTCACGCTGGTTTTTAATCGCCAGTGCTTTCTATAGAATGCCCTCTTCTACTGCAGCTTTGGATGCAAGGTTATGGCAAAACTGTGGTTTCGGTGTGTTAGTTTCTTCACATACAAAAATGTAGAGAAACCCATCACTAAAAAAAAAGGACATGATTGTGTGTGTTGCACTTAGATGGCATCATTTTCTGTACGCTGTTTTATGCACATTATGTGTTTTCGTTTTTTCATTCCTGGTTTTCTGTGTGCTCTTCATATAACAATGAAAGGTTATAGCAAATTTAAGCCCCACCGCAGTGGTCTAGTGGCTAAGGTACTCTGCTGCTGATCCCCCCGGTCACGGGATCGAATCCCGGCTGCGGTGGCTGCATTTCTGATGGAGGCAGAAATGCTGTAGGCCTGTGTGCTCAGATTGGGGTGCACGTTAAAGAACACCAGGTGGTCGAAATTTCCGGAGCCCTCCACTACGGCGTCTCGTAATCATATGCTGGTTTTGGGATGTTATACCCCACATATTATTCATCAATTATACAACATGTAACATTACTTGCGCACCTCTGTGTTTTCAGTATGTAGTAGACTATGTTTATTTCAAGGAAAGGGCAGTCTATGAAGGAATATCACGTGGATATTAATCAAGGCAGTATGAGAGAATATTTGTTGGCAGTAAAACTAGCTTTTTGGCAGTGGAACAGTACATTTTTTAAAATTCTTATTGGCATGAACCCATTTGAAAAAACATTGCATTATTGCTCGCTCTTATTGATACCTTTTAACTTCTAGTGTACAACCTTTCTCTCTTTTTTCTTTCTTACCGTCATCGTTGTGGTGCACCAGGTAACAGAAAGCAGTAATTTCTAATTTTTGCAACATTGTCACTTGCCCATTTATCCATTTCTAAAGTGCATAACGTAGGCTTAAAAGTGCATGTAAATTAGACATGTAAATGATGTCAGTTAGCCACTTTTCTCAACAAGTTTGCATATTTCATTTTATTTGTATATAGTCAGGACATAGACGTCTTTCTGGCATGTGTATTTTATTTGTTCAATATTTTGCTGTTCTAACGTGAATCTTTCTAGAAATAATCCAGGAGCGATTTAACCCCCCTCCCCGAGAATTTAAAATGTTGTGTTTATAATATATAATATATTATATATATATATATATATATATATATATATATAGTGAAGGTATGGGATATGGCACAACGGGAGCGTTGTCAACAAGGATAAATATATTTATTTCCCAACAGTTTCAGGGGGGGTCCTCCCTTCATCAGGGGATGAGTTATGCTGACATGAACTTCCAAACTTCGTGCTGCCGCCTCCTTCTCGCCTTGAAAGATGTTTGCGAGAGTGAGAGGGAACTTAAAAAAAAGGGGAAGAGAAAAAAAAGACGAAAAAGAAAAAGAAAGAAAGTAAAAAAGAGGAAGAACCACTGTCAACACTGAGAACGAAACCAACTGTCCGTTTACGTCCACATACGGTTCTTATCACGTGCTGTTCAGTTCTCGACATGTGTGGGCCACCCAAGATTGTCGCAGCGGTGGCGGGAGGGTCCCTGACAGCGTGCGTAAAGAAAGGGTTTCCCCTTAATGGTTTGGTCGGCTCTTTACCTTTAATCTTCGTCCGTTTCCCTTCAATGGTCATCAAGTGGTAGGCGACCGTAAACACTTTGTATGTGCATGTGGAAAAAAGAAAAAAAGAAAAACAAAAAACAAGAAAGGACAGTGTACACGTTCAGTCAGAAAAAAGCATGGTCTCCAGCTGTCAATCTTTGTCACCAATTTCCTCCTGGCTTACTTCTCGGGGCAGTTGAGTTTTTCGGGGTCCTCGTTGATGCCGGCTACTAATGTTCGAAATTTGAAAATAAAATATGCCTCACGCTGTTCGCGCTCGCGTCTGTTTATATATATATACGCACACACACACATTTAGCATGGTTGAACCCCTCCCCTCTTTCCCTGAAAAACGTTTCCCGCTATGCCCGTGAAATAATCAATCATAGGTGTAAATGTATAAGCATATGTGCTAGTAACAAGTGACCATTTGAAGAACATGTCATGAAAACTGTTTTGGGAGGAATGCTTTCTTGGTATGTACAATATCTCTTAGACTTAAGTACCATCAGAGCTGCAGAAGATCATAGCAGTCCTTTTTTAGCAGTTCAGTTTATCGCAACACTGTTGATGTTAGCTCATCACTTCCTCCTAAAGTGATTTTACTAGCAAATAGTTAGATACATCTCTACGTAGCGCTGTAGGTTTATTTTGCTCTGATGAGGAGAAAATCTTGAGCAGGGCACCAAACCAAATTTTCTTTTGCATTCAGATGCAATAAAAATAATGTATTATCAGTGGTTGAGTACTCTTTAGCAATGATATACAGGACCTGAGTGGTGTGAGCAGTTGATGTTTTCATGGTGGTTGCCCCAAGGCTATGTTATATTTTTGCCATTGTGCATTGGTAAATTGCTGTGTAGAGAAGCTGTTAGTGCATTTCATATTCTAATAAGCTTGTGATTATTGACATTGTATTGACCTTTAAAATGATAATGTGAAAGGCCATGGTTAATGATAAAAGTTCAAAATTTTTGTAAAAGGGTACTAACGTCATGGCGTCCACTTTATGGGCTACATATGTGCATTAAATGTGAGAGCGTCAATCACGCCACTAGTAGCCATGACGGTGAGTGTGGAACACTCTTTATCTGCCTGTTCGGCGTAATGTAACATGTGAATTTATGATCTGGCAGCTCTCCAATAATCCCTCATATACTTATTTAAGGGCATGTTACATTAAACATGTCTATTAAAAGAAGCCATTTATGTTTTTATATGAGAGTATTGTGCTATGAGCAGTTGATTTAAAGGCCCATCCATTGCAAAGCTCTCAGACACATTTATCATCATCAGTATCAAAAGGATCAACAAAGTTAGCAGTTGTGTGTTTGTACGCTGCCTTATAGACGCGTAGTGGGACCTTTGCTGATTCGCAAAAATAAGAATTATGGCATGGTGGGCACTTGGCAACTGTACTTGCAGTAGCCATTACAGTATACTTTGAAACAGCCAGTGTTAATGCACAAACGTTCGTTTTCTTGCGGCGCAGTTGAGGCATCCACAGAGAAGCAAAGCCAGGCTAGCAATTGAGAAGGCGGTGCACACAGGGTCGTTTATGCTATCGTGTTCTATTCTTCCAAGTTTTTTATTATGGTATTACTGGAGCCTTATGATAGGTCAACTCCACTTCATGACCTTGGGTTTGTTAACTAACTTCGTCCAATATAGAGTGGCATGCTTGTGAAGTACTCAGCATGTGACTCTTTTCTTGAGTGAATATAGTGCACACTGAAGGCTGCCATTGTAGAAGACATATTGCAACTGTTTATGGAAAACTCCACTGAACAGAAAAACAGGGCATGCGGACGTGGACACAGGAGAGAAGTCAAGACACCACAAATTCCAACTAACATCTACAAAGATGCGTAATGGCAGAAAGGAAAGAAGGCATAAAAGCTTTGCTGCGCATGCCCACGCAATAATAGGCAAACCTATTAGTCTAGCACACGTGGGGGTCTGCGTGCGAGATAACTATTCAGACACTTCTTTTTATGCAATTTAATCGATGGTTGGCTCACGCGTGCGCTACCTCTATTATCGATATTCCAGGCTAGGTTGATATGCCCGGCATTCGCATTTTGAGGGAGGCAAAATGCTAGAGGACCATGTACAGTACGATGTCAGTGTACGGTAAAGAACACCAGATGGTCCAAATTTCCGGAGCTCTCCACTACGCCGTGCCTCATAATCATATCGTGGTTTGAAGACATAATACCTCAGATATTTTTATTGTTACTACTACATGGTGGCCACCAAGGGAGCTATTCTCTGTGTCCAACTAATGGACTACCCATTTTGGCACCATTGACTGGCTGGAGCTCGATGAGCAGGGTGCCCCCTGTTTCTGGCTCTTCTTCGGCAACATCATTTTGATGTCCTGAAGCTTTCAGAACTCTCGACACAAATGAGAAGTGCTGTATTCATATCAGTGCAATGAATGCGTCCTTCAGAGATCCACTTT